ATAATATGCAAAATAAAATATACTTGCAAAGGAACCTCTTCGTTTTGTACTATCCAAGCATTCTTATCTTATCATTTATGAATTAAGATTGAGCTAAACTATGATTAGAGGATGCCACCAATGAAATTCACTTGCGTTGATTAGTTTAAAACCCAACAGTGCACAGCATGACCTCACCTATACATCATTATTATATAAAAGAGAGTATATAAAGGAATACTTAGTTTATTTGCTCATCAAGTATGAACACTGAAAATTTTGTGAAAACAAATAAAGGCAATGACCGTAGGACCACAGAGTTACAAGTCATGATGAAAATATGAAGAAAACACTTGGACCTGCCTCTTGTATTCTTTTATTTTCCTCACTTGTCATTATTGAAAAAGTGAGCTCTAATCTCATCCCTATTTAAACATGCTCTTCAACTGCTTTTAATCCTTTAGAATCAAATAGATTTTAATTTGCAAATTAAACACCCCCACCCCCAAAAAAAACAAAAGAGGGATTGGCCACTTTCTTTTCCTTCTTCCTCTATTGTGTTTAAATGTTAAATATTTGCACAATTTAAATGATTTGTATGTTGAATTCTTTTTTATTTTAAAATAAGGTTATATTAAATATTGTCCAATAATATGATACATTGAAATTTCGATAAGATTTAAAGGGAGGTCTGATTCTAACTTTAATATCAATTACATGTTAAAAGATCTATCATCAAAATCACTTAAAAGATTGGTAAGATTAAGAAAACATAACACTTTATGTCACCAGTAAATAATCCTATAATTTAAGTAATGATAGTGTGAGGACTTTTAGGGGCAAAAAATGTAGGGTTTTCTTTTGCTAGGCCACTGTAAAGTACAAGAGGTAGTAGGGTGTGCCCATCGCTATTTGGGAACATTAGGCTACAAGTAAGACCAAAATTAACTTCAAAGTTAAGCCTAAAAAACTTGACTCTAGACTCTAAAGACAGGATGGAAAAAGGAACTCAATAGTGTGGTTTTGTTTAGGAATTATTTCTAATTGGTCATCATATCATTGGAATTCACTTATAGCATATATATATATATATATATTAAAATTAAACTCTTAATTGTGCTGAAATGTAAGGTTTTAAGGTAGAGATTGTTTTGGAATTATTTCTTGATTTTGGAGTAGAATTATCAATTGATTTATATATCTGTACCTTATCTGTTGTCTTTTGAATATATTTAAGCAATTTGATTTAGAGATTATCACATCGATCTGTTTCATGTTATGATATATTTTTGAAACTTTTGGCGTCTGTTTTGTCAAATTATTTTCATTCCTTGTTATTACTGAACAGAAAGACATTAAAATTCAAGTATTGAAAATCATGCTGTGTGTTGGTAATATTATATTTTCATTTTTATTTTTATTAAAAAATGGTAGAAAAAATGCTTTATCTCTTTCTTTTTTATCTCTCAGAAATGTAGAAACCTATATTTGGTCACCGGGATGTGAATAGAGCTACACAGGCCTTTTTGGTCGTCAGTACAAATAAGGAAAAGATGAACAGAAAAAAGCCCAATGGCAGCAAGTAAAGAGCAAGAAAAACGTAAAGATTTTGTTTTTGGTAAAAAGAAAGAATAAAAGATTGAATAGTCATAGAAAACTCCAGCCTAATTACAAAGCCCATAGGGTTTTTCGTAAGAGCCCAGATATCTTTTGTTAAAGCCCAAATGTTGAACAAATAATTCAGGACCGGAAGGAAAACAAAAATTTATGCAAGAAAAGAGTAAACAGGCCTCACGAGTACAGAATAAACGATCTATTTGAAAAAGTTTACGATGAATTTATAAAAATTAGTTTATAATTCTTATAAGATATTTTAAACTTATTTGTATAATTTATTTAAAATATTTTATTCTTAATTTGTTTTAATAGTTTCATAATTAAATTTGTGATTTAAGTTGTTATTTTGAAAAAGCATTTATCACTTTGAAAAGCCTAATGGTAGTTATATCATCCCACCATGCTTTGATTCTCACAATTTTACTGATCTGTATATTCTGAATTTATTAAGTTTGAAATTTAATGATTAATCTATAAAATAAAATCATAAAACTGAAAATTAGTTGTAATTTTTAAAATTAGAAAAAAAATCATCCCAAATAAATTCTAAAACTATGCAACTTTAAACAATACAAAATTTTATTCATTGTGATAGAATGAACAACGAATGTACAAAGAATTGTTCTAACTTTACATGTGATATTGAATTCGAGACCAATGAATATACAATGTTTACTACAGGTACGAGCATAAAATACCATAACGAAATTGAAGAACTGAACTACAGATGCAAACTGACAGAAACATTTTTTTTTTTTCACTTATTTTGACGTTGGAATACCTTATTTTACAAAGTGACCGGACATGGGATTAAACCTGCACCTACAACTGGAGCACATGATGATTAGAGAAACACCATTTGTTTTAGGGTTTCCATGTTTGAGTCCACTGGAAATCTTGGGAATTTCATATTTGCACCACTTTTTACACCGAGGACATGCCTCCTTATTAACTTTGATGCCACCAAATCCTTTCTTTTGTTGATTCCCGAAACTCTTCTTTTGATTATTACGGTCACGTAGGTTCAGCCAAGCTTTGTTGGTGAGCCTAAAAGCACCCACAGTTGCCACAGAAGCATTCTTGGTTGGGTTCACCATCTCCACTAATTTGTCACGTTGCACCTTGATGCTTTCAATGTCTTCAAAGCCTTCTCTAATACCAAGAACCTTATACCAATTTATTTGACCATTGCTACATTTTTTTGATGCTGCGCGGTAGATTTTATAGGCAGCAAGGCTTTCATCTACGCCATCTAACATGGGATCTAGCGATTTGGCTATGGTTGCAAACATGATGGCTCCTTTAGTATCATGAACCATAAATTTTTTCTCTGCAATCTCTTTGGCTAACTTCGCTCGAGGGTTCCCTAAATTCATCGACATGACCTGAACTACATATAAGAGTTGCAATATGAAATAAGAAACTATTTCTAATATGAAGAGAAACAGGAAAAGAAAGTTTTCTTGCCTTTTGTGTCAATAGCCTCCTCTTTATTATATCAAACTGTAGAAAAATTGGTATGGTTATTGAAAATTTTCTTCGCATCCAAAGTGTTATTATGAGAAATTTTGAATCTCAAATCGTAGATGAGATCTTATAAATAAGCCTGGAACTGAAGAAATTAGAATTGGTTATGCATAACAACTTAATAGATATTTTTTCAAAATTCAAAATATAATCTTCATAAGATATGTTGTGTATCTTTTTTTTTATTAACAGATATGTTGTGTATCTATTTTACTTTTACACACAATATTTTATAAATTTGACTCTCTGTTTCGTGACAAGTATATATTATAATTTAAGAACTTTATTTTATCAGTTAAATTATATTTCTATCTTTGTTTCAATTTTGATGTTTAATTAGGATTTAATTTATGTAATTAATTATTGTCATAATAGCTGACATTATAGACTTTAAAGGATAATTTTGGGAGATATTATGAAATAATTGTAAGTATGTTTTATTCTCTCTCTTTTTTATAACCTAAACGTTTTTTTGTTTTTCCAATAGAGAATTAATTAGTAACCTAAACTTTTTCAATTGTAATAAGTGTGTTTGGGTTTTATAAAGGATAAATATTAGTTTTTTAAGTGAGGATAAAGATCAGTTAATTGGGTGGTTAGTCAAGTATCGGTAAGTTAAACAGGTAAAAAGTTATCTTTAATTTAAATTTAAATAATTTTTTTATCTTATATGATCTAATTAAAATTAAAATTATATTTATTTCATCTCTAAATTAACGCAAGTAGATATCCCGTTATTTTTATATTTATTAAGTTATAACTAATTGGGTGGTTTGTCAAATATCCGTTAGTTAAAAATAGGTTTAAAGTTATCTTTATTTTAAATTTAAATAAATTTTTTTATCTTATATGATTTAATTTAAATTTAAATTATATTTATCTCATCTCTAAATTAATGCAAGTAGAGATTTCATTATTTTTGTGTTTTATTGAGTTATAGCTAATTAGATGGTCAAGTAGACACTCCATTATTTCTGTATTTTAACTAATTAGGTGGTTTGTCAAATATAGGTTACTTAAATAGTTACAAAGTTATCCTCAGTTTAAATTTAAATAATTTTTTTATTTTATACAATCTAATTCAAATTTAAATTATATTTATCTCATCTCTAAATTAATGCAAAGAGAGTCTCCGTTTTTTTTTTTATGTTTTATTGAGTTATAACTAATCGACTAATTTGTTAAATATGGTTGGTTAAATTGGTATAAAGTTATCTTTAATTTAAATTTAAATACATTTTTTTTATCTTATATGATCTCATTCAAATTTAAATTATATTTATCTCATCTTTAAATCAAGGCAAGTACATTTGAGTGGTGTTATTAAATTAGAATAGTTTTTAAAATATATTTTTTGGTACAAAATACTAAATTATATTGGTTGATTATTTTAAATTTTAAATTTATTGCAAATTTTAAAACCAATAATTATTTTAATTTTTATTACTAAATATTTTATTGTATTAAATAAAAAAATAATTTATTTGAAATTAAAAATGAATTATAAACAATTTCATATTCAAAAAGTCTTCAATATAATTTAGCATATGAATTTAATTTATACAGTTTGAATTTATTGAAAAAACTGAAATTTGATTACAAGAAACATAATATTTGAATTTTTTTATAATAATATATTATTATTTAAAATTTTATTTGATTACGTTATTTTATAATATATTGATTGATACTAAATATTTTTTTAAATAACAAATAAACATCTAAGTATTTTTAAAATAATTTATTTATTAAAATTAAAATATAAAACAAAATAAAGAAAATTTTATTTAATAATATTATTAATATAGTAGTATTTTAAAACTCTTTTTCACGTGTGAGTTCTTAAATTCTCATTAGTCTGATTGGAGACTATTGAATGCCAGTCAATCCATTTCCGTGACGAAGAAGAGAAGAGAATGGATCTTCTGTGCAACGCATATTCGAATACCTCAGACGACGATGACGAAGAAGAAGAAGAAGGAGAAAACCCAAAACGACAGAGAGTATCACTCTCTTCCTCTAACCTACCCAAACCCTATCTTCCTTTTCCTTCGCCTATTTCCAACCCCCAAACGCAAACGCAAGCTCACATTCCTGGAACATACATTTCCAAACGCCAACGCGCATCGATGGTTCCTCTCTCTCCCTCTCTTCCTGAATCTGTCCCTGTTCCTTCTCCGTTTACTCTATCTGGTACTTATCACTTGCTTTTCCCTCTTTTTCTTCGTTTATCTATTCATTGAAGCTCTTCTTTTCACACTTCACTCACATTCAAAGTTCTCATAATTTGCTCTGTTCAATTTTTATTTTTTTAGTAATTTCAAATGCTTTTTTCCTTTTCCATTGAAACCTGTTCAATTTTATGTTTTGTTATTATAGACTGAGTTCGTTTTTTTTTTCCTCTGACTTTGGAGAAGAAGGATTTTAATTTTGGTTCACTAATCAACGTGAAATGTTTTTCACACTATTATTTAATCTTGTGAGAGGTGCTATCTATTGAGTATCGCTTGCCATGGCTATTTCCTTAGTTCAAAGGCTACTTCCCAATTTAAGGAGCTCCACTTCTATTTAGTGGGGAAGTTCAATAGAAGAGTGGCAGCTGAAGCATGCAGCATTAGAATTTCGGTGTCTTTTAATTAGTCTTCGGATGTGCTGGATGTTTTAACTTGTGTCTATTCCCTTGCTTCTATATGGTATTTTTAATCATTGATGGAGATAACTACCTGACGTTTTGCTTGTTCATAAACTTAGGGAATATCTCAGATGCTGATATACCCCATGTTATTTTACCATTGTTGAAAAGTAAAGCAAAGGGTCATCAAAGCCTGAGCCCAAAATCTGAAAAGCTATCTGCAACACTTTATGGGCATACAAAAGCTGTCAATGCTATACATTGGTCATCAATTCATGGTAAGCTCTCTTTGTTGACAAACTGTTGTCCTGGTGTGTGATATACTATATGTTAGGTCTAGGAATAATTTTATTGGACTGTTTCTAAGTGATAGAGCTATGTGTTTGTATTATATTTTATCTTTAATGTATATAGCATTCGTTTATTTGCAGCTTGAATAAATTTAAAATCAAATTATTGAAAAGTGTTGTTAGTTACACATACACATGGATGAAGAGAGAGAGAGAGATGCTTGTTTTATACATTACTTGTATTGATCTGTTCATTAAAGTTAGCTTACAGCTCATCTCCTTGCATCTGGTGGGATGGATCATATGGTTTACATATGGAATGTATGGAGCAGAAATCAGAAGAAAGCATGTGTGCTGAACTTCCACAATGCAGCAGTCAAAGATGTGAAATGGTCTCAGCAAGGGCACTTTCTGCTTTCTTGTGGATATGATTGCACTTCTAGGTTGGTTGATGTTGGGAAGGGATTGGAGACTCAAGTGTTCAGAGAAGATCAAATAGTCGGAGTTATAAAGTTTCATCCAGACAATTCAAATCTTTTCCTTTCTGGAGGATCAAAGGGCCATATCAAACTATGGGATATCAGAACTGGCAAAGTTGTGCATAACTATAATCGAAATTTAGGTCCAGTTCTAGATGTTGAGTTTACACGGAATGGGAAACAATTCATTTCTTCTAGTGACGTATCTGGAAGTAATGTCAGCGAGAATTCTATTATTGTTTGGGATGTGTCAAGACAGGTACCATTGTCTAATCAGGTGAGAGAATTCTCTACTATCTGTTATATTCTGTTTTACTTTTCACAATTTTTCTGCCTAATTGCTGTGAAGTTTGCTTATCATTAGTATAAGCAGCATTGCTGAAGTTGATTACAGCTCTCTTGGAAAATAAGTCATTCTAGAGGGAATAGAATAATGGAGATTGTCTAGTAAAATCATACCTTAGAAGTTCTATTCAAGGTTCTAAAATCCAGTCTCATAATTGAACTGGTAAAGAGACTGATTCAATGTTTACTGGTTCAAACATGGTCAAATTGTGGTTAAACTGGAATTAATGTTTAATATTATGAATTATTATGTTGTTTTAAATATTAATAATTATTTATTTTGTATTGACATTAAATATGAAATTTTAATACGTTAATCTACTTTAATATTTATTTAAAAATTAAAACTTAATCATTATCATGTACTGATGTAAAACAATGAACATGAAGTATAAGAAGATGGCTGCAGGTTTAGAGAGAAAAACACATGCTTATCAATTATTTTCCTATACACAGTAGAATTTATTGTCAGAATTGGTTAAGGAGACTACCAATATGCTAAAAATCAAGAAAAAGTGAAAGAGCAAAACAAGGGATTAAAAACAGCCTACTTAACAACTGAATCAGAGGATTCATATTTTTTACTAATTAAAAAACCTTCCTAAAATTCCTAATAGACTTCAACACCCTCCTATCATGCCTAACTTGCTTACAAGAAGTTCAAAGTTAGGTTTAAACAATGCTTTGGTGATGATATCTTGTGGCACAGTTGGAACAAATGGTACAACGCTCCAGCATCTTTGTTCTCTGTAATGAATTGTCTGTCAACTTCCACATGTTTAGTTCAATCATGATGTGCTGGACTCTGAGCAATACTTATTGCAGCCTTGTTGTCACTGTATAACCTCATTCGTTAGCTGATAGTCATCCTTAATTCTTCAACAATCCTTTTAGCCATAACATCTCTCAGACTCCATGAGCTATAGCTACATATATTCTGCTTCAGCACTGCTCCTTACTGTGACATTCTATTTTTTGCTATTTCATGTAACTGTTATCCTATACAAACATGCATTGGCCAAATGTAAACTTCCTGTCAGTGATAGACCTTGCTCAGTGTGTGTCTATGTAAGCCTTTGATGGTCTATTGTGTTGTCTTTTTCAGGACAAGACTTTTTCCTAGTTTGCTCCTTTTGAGATTTGCTATACCTCCTTAATGTATACTATTTCCTTCACGAGTAGATTAAATACCATTATTTTCAACAAACCAATAAGATAGCAAAACAAGGGATGAAAACAGTGTTCCTAACAACATCTGAAATTTGGATCAGCAGATTCTGATTTTATTCTAACTAACAAATCTACCTGGAAACCTAACATTTAATTCCCAACAAACTTCAACAATAACATATTTTCTAATTCATACAACTATCAAGATCAATAACCTAATGGTTCTATGATGCTTTTTTAGGTTAGCCACCTAAAATCCAATCTCATCTCTCGCCATTATAGGAACCAGCTGAACCAATGAATGGTGACCAGTTTGAATAGCTTGACACTGATGTAATGTTTTTGAGACTGGTTCATAGCCTACCAGTTTTAGAAGATTGACTTGGCTGGCCATAGGGTTGACGGTTGAACTGGTCAAACTAGCTAGCCTTTTTTAGTTTTCATGAGCAGTGGTTCTGTCTATGCTGAAGAGAGTTTGATGAAGAAAAATGTATTCACTAATTATAGTAGTACTATTTTGTAATCTATAAAATATTTTGGAATTTATTGCTAGTCTTGGTTTTATATGATAAGCCATTCAAAGATCTGCATTGAAAGTGTTATTTCTTCTCTCTGATATGAATTGGAGAATTCAGTAATTACAGTAGTAAATCAATCTAAAAGGAAGTCTGATGTGCTCAACACCATTGAAATAGCCAATACTTAAACTTCAACTAGAAAAGAAACATTCTGGCTGCTTAATTCATCTCCAAAGTTCATGGTTGTTTCTTTTGCCAGTCAGTGGATAACTTGCTTTAGCGTTTATTTGAGACTATTTTATTGGCTTCTGAGTGCTTCGTTTCTCTCTCTTCTTAGTTCTTACCCACTGCTATAATACTTTTCTTTGCGGTTTCATCTTGTTCTTTTATGAGTGTACTTAATCTTAATCTGGTTAGCCTCCTTGCAAAAGGGTGTTCAACACTTGTCCTGTCCTATTAATCTCTCTTGGCCCAAAATTAATTTTAACTTGTTCATGTTTTAGAAATTAGACCCGACATGTTCCAAGAACAGGTTTGTGCTATACTTGAAATTGTTCCAACTCAACTCATGACCCATATTATTTTAAAATTTGTACTTATTTCAACAATTGCGTATTAATAACAAGACTTTTTTACTTAATCAATAACATTTGCCTTACTTGATAATATATTTATATTGATATTCTTTGTTTTGAAGTTTATACTGTAAAATATACCTTAGTTTTAATATTATATCTCTTTAATTTTGAGTTATATATAATAATAATGTTTATATATGATGCCAACAAATTAGGTTGACTAAATATTGACCCATGCATTATTAAGTCCTGGTCGGTTTGGATAAGGATCAAGTTAAACCCATCCCATGCCATCATATCATATGAACACCCCTACATCAATTTTTAGAAACATTCAGCTCATATGGAGGGTTTGAAAGTATTCTGTTATAATTAAATGCTTAGAGATAACAAACTCATTTCTACATTCAAATCTCCCAGGAAACTGCTAAGTTTTGCTACCTAGAATGTAATATTCATGCTGCAAAGAAACATGTTTTGCACTGATAATAATTGATAAGTAATTTAGAGTATAACTTTTTAGTTTTTACCTCTCCCAATGACTTTCCACGATATTAAAGCTGAAATAAAACGCAAGCCACATGCATTGCATATTACATGCTGAAATTTCTATGATGCTATATGCATCTTGGAGGATGCATTTCATTTCTAAATATCATTTTCACTTACAACCTTTCGTTCTTGGTGCTATATGTATCTTGGAGGATGCAATTAATTTCTAAGTATCGTTTTCACTGTATGTACTTGTAAAATATGTTATGTCTTGTGAGTTTAGATTTTAATTAGCTTATTATATTCCTGGATCAGGTTTATGTGGAAGCTTATACCTGTCCCTGTGTAAGGTGCCACCCATTTGATTCGATTTTCGTTGCTCAATCAAATGGGAATTATGTTGCAATTTTTACTACCACCCCACCTTACAGACTCAACAAATATAAGCGATATGAGAACCATGGGGTCTCCGGGTTCCCGATTAAGTGCAATTTCAGCTTGGATGGGAAAAAACTTGCCTCTGGCTCTTCTGATGGTTCTATCTACCTTTATGATTATCATTCATCTAAAGTTGTGAAGAAAATCAAGGCCTATGACCAAGCATGCATAGACGTTGCCTTCCACCCAGTTATACCTAATGTTATTGCTTCATGCTCATGGGATGGAAGTGTTTTGGTATTTGACTAGTGTTACCCAATATCATCCCAATTTCAGGGTAGTCTTTTAATTTTCTCAAGGGAGTAAAGGGCATGCATTTGATTGCTGCTAGAAAATGGCTTTCTATGAAATGGGAATCTGAGTGGAGATGTCTAGCTTTCTCTATGTCCTATGCAGCTGTTTTAACTTTGTCACAAATACTATGTGAATGATGAAACCTTCTCCCACAAGTCTTATTCGTTGCTTAAGTGTGCTCCTTTTACTGTTGTACTGTGGATTTAATATTTGATTCACTTATTACAACAATAGTGTATCACAGTGTGAATTGTTTAAAAAGCAGTTTAAAGTATTTACCAGTAGTGAGAAATCTTGGTAACTATAATTAATGATGTGACAGCTTTTTTCTGTATAGTAATGGATGAAAATTAAAATGCTTCTTCATTATTCTGATCGGCCCTTAATTTTCCCAGAGAAGAACTGTTTCAGATAATATAGGCGATTGTCATACAATTTGTAAAGCTACACAGAGAAATGTGTTTGCCATTAGCATCTAAGTTGGCCGATGAGTCAATCTGCTTCCACCATTATGGAATAAAAAGCAACGACATAGAAATAGGGTTCATGACTATCGAGATTCTCAAAGCCTATTAACTTTCCAAAAGATTGCTATGGTCAAAGGATGCTATCATGGATTGTTGTTCTGTCGCAACAAATATCAGCCTGCAAGTTGCATGGTTCCACCACAAATATTCAGGGTCTCAGACCAAAATTTTGTCACTAAAGTTTTAACTATCGTTGTCACGCTAACAGAATGAATTATCCTTTTCAGCCTTCATTCAACTAACATGTGCCCTCCATGGCAGGTTTTGACAAGCCTGTGAAACTAGAAATGCTTACACGTATTTGCATGTCCTTGACACTAATGCAGGGTCATGGGTTTCTCCTCTTGCATATAGTGAAATAAAAACTAAAACCAAACGTGGCATTAGGCAGTGGTGCAGCTCATGAGTCACAGAGAATGTGTCTAGGTGCTTGTAACCAGTACCTACTACCATGATGGAAGGAACCCCAAATGTGAGTTCAACTTAGAGGGATCTGTGGGGGCAAACTCAGCTGTTCTTATGTTCATCCACATCTTCCCATAAGGAAGAGAGATGGAGGGGGGGCCTTGAAACGTTTAAACAAGACATAATTATGGAATTCCCTTTCCACTCTTCATGGGGGTCAATTGTAAGGGGACAAGACACGCCACTCTTCTCTCTTTTTAGATGCATTTGCTAATGGGACCAGCTCCCCTAACCCCTCCTAATTTTCAACACACAAGTCAAATTTCAATTCTGGAAAACATTGTTATATCTGCACATCACACAGCACTATCTAGAGAAACCAGCATCTGTGTCAAACATTGATGGTCCACAGCTACCCTCTCTTAGAACTGTTTATATTGGAAAATATGGTAATCTCAAATCCCATTTAAAGCAAAGAACACCCTTATAGCAGCCTACTATCCTATGAACATAATTTATTTTCAACGTCTATATGAATATGTTCCCCACCTTACATGGTCTTAAGCACTCTCTTTGATGTCTTTCTCTCTCTCTTTATTATCCCAATATTTATCTCTTTGTCCCACTAGTCTTTCCCCCAAAAACAAACTTAAAAGGCAAAAAGGGAACAAGAAAGATGGAACTCAGAGAGTGAGCAAAGCATGCCCCTACTCCACAGTCCATATGACTGCAATCATCATCTAAAAGAGAGATACTTTTGTAGCGTACTTGAGGTCAAGAGGGCATTCGCGTTTTAAGGCCCACAAGCTTACCTATGGGGCGACACGAAACGATGGGCTGAAAGGTTTTTAAGCTAAGCCAGCTGAAGCTCTAGGATTTGACATGAACTTCATGGTCTTAATCACTTTAGCACATTTTCATTTAATTGGGGTGCGAAAAATGACAATTATTACTAACCAAAGTTTGTGCTTTGCAATTAAAATCGTTGCTTTGGAATCAGAAAACCACCTAGCCATTCTCACTAATATTACTTTGCTAATCACATTGTCTCTCTCTTTTGATTCATCTTTCCATCTATGCTTTCCAACTTTTGGATTAATGTTTATCCTCTGCTACATGCTAGACCATAATCAAAATGTTTGTGCCTTGCTCACAGTGTTATCACTAGCCTTCCAATCCTGGCCCTGAAAAGTAGCCGACAAACTCATTTTATTGGTTCTGCCATGTGATTTGTGGCCTCAACCGAGTCACCCATTTGGTTGGTTCTTCTTTATTCCTTCCCCAAACAATTTATAAAAACATAAACAACCAATCATCATTTTATTAAATGCATCTTACTCTCAATTTCCCATTTTTGGAAGAATGCCTTATGAGGTGTTTTTTCGTTGGCTACGTGGCCACTACTCACTAATCAACCGCTTGTGTTTATGTTTTATAAACTACTATATCTATAACAATATCACTATGCTTCAAGACTTGACATGAATTATTATAATCTAAGCTCTTCGGTAATGAAAATCTTGGAGGGATTATGTTTGATCGATTCCATTGGTTGACACCGAGTTCTAGAAAGCTGAGTCCAGCTAGTAAGATAAAGTAGATCAATTAGATTCTGTCTGCTCAATCCTTTCTTAGAATAATTATTTTCTATATTTTATTTCACCTTTAACAGAGGTTGTTCTCACTTTCACTGACCATGTTTGAATACTAGTGAATTGTGATGCAACTTGCATGGACTTCAATTTCTGTTTAACTGAATTGTTTTCACTTAGCTACATTAATTTGTCTCCTTTTCTTTTTATCCTTTTGTTTTTGTCAAAAGAAGATTAAACACTTTGATTTTTTAATTAATGAGCACATGATGTTTCATAGATATTTAGGCTTTTGTTTAACTACTTTAAGTGTTTGTTTTGAGCAAGACACCACCATCCTGTATTGTTTTGTACTCATTGAAAACCTGCTTTTGCTTGAAGCTTGTCACTTTATGCAATTTCATAGACTAATTACAATTTCCCTATTCTTCTTCTCTTTTCTTCTCGTTAGTTTTCCTTAATTTGTATAAATTGAATTAGGTTCTGTCGTAACTTACACTGTGTCACTTGTCAATGATTAGAGAAAGAAAAACAGAAAATGAGGGAATCCCATCTTTGAACTTGTGTCATTTTAATATATATAATATTAGTGTTTTCTTGTCCTGTCAGTCATTTGAGTGTGATATTACGTGTATGTCTTTACTCAAAAAAAAACTTGTGCAGATAAACAACAGGAGTCAAAAGTAAGAAAGTGAAATGGTATGTAATGTGATTTAAATAAAAAAAAAATGTTCAAAAAAGTATGATTTTGTGAAATGATGTGTTTGTTAGAAATACACAAGGCTTGCTATTCCTGCTTCCAATATTGTTCAATATATCTGGATTCTTCTAGTAGCATATGGATTAACCCTCATAGGCATTCATGAACACAATCCTTATTCTGGTGACATTTGACCGACAAGATGGCTTCAACAGTGAGTGGAGGGTGAAGGCCTCTATCAAGCTCCATGATCACTAGCCATGAATGAACAAAACGTTATCGTTTCTCTATTACAAGGGAAAACAAAACATGAAAGCGAAAGCAATATGGTATGAGACATCAAAAAGTAAAAGCACAGAAGAGGGGGAGAAAATAAGGTCTTTTAAAGTACAAAATTATTGGCTAACGTTTTTATTCAAATGGCTACATGATATCTGATAAGGACTTTGATCACCTTACCAATAATGCTGTGCATGAAGTCTGAACATACTTCTAGGATAAAGGGTCTTAAATTTTCACAAGGAATATAGAATATAGCTATGGCAATTCTGTAAATGCTCTCTGATTGACAGTTCGTTTCAGAAATCAGAATTTGACAGCAAATATTGCTTTTGTAGTAATGGTGTACTGTGTTATCTATTTGTTGCATGAAGTGGTGGACAAGGTATCATAATACTTATCAACCATTGAGCTGGGTGAACTTTGCCTTTATACAATTCCTTTTCTTTTATTTTTTTCTTCTTTTTTTCTTTCCTATTCTTTTTAACTTTTGGTCTTTTTAGCTATTTTCTTTCCTCTTTTCTTTTCTCATTTTCTTTGAATTTGAAGCATGCAAGGACACGTCCTGATGGAGGTACAAGCATTGTACTGACTCCTTTGCGTAGATATACAAAGTCTTATCACTTTCATCTCGCAGCATATGATGATGATCTTGTTGTCGGTCAAATGATTCTAGCTATGTGTGTCGGTGAAAAAGGTGAAAAGGAAAAGTGCTGTGGAAAATGAGCAACACTTCAAGTTATTTGATCTTGTTTGGTTATGAACTCACCACATATTATCTTGTACCAACACTTATATTTGATTAAAGAGAACCCTTGTGGAATGTGGATCATGTAGCATAAATTTTCCTACCTTAAAACTCAAGTAAGCTACAAACAAAAACCATCATTTCAATGCATTAAACTAATCACATTCAAATGAGTGCATTAGAACCTAAACATTTCTATTTTAGAAGTATAAATGCCAAGATAAGATTTGGGTTTTTGTGTTGATTTATAGCTGTGTTACTCTTTTGACTAATTCCTACATTGAGAGTTGCAAATCACCACGTTTGAGTACTGTTGAAGTCAGAATATGGACACAGCAAAGTAGGACCACACTTTTGATTGAGAAAGAGTTTATGGCATTAGTAATACATAAACCCCTCAAAGTGTCTGTTGCCTAGAATGCCATATTTTTCCTGCTTTCAACATGTTTTATTTTTTAAAAATTGAAAAGAAAAAGAAAATACCCATCATTCTATTACTTTTTCATCTGAAGAAGATAAAAAGATTCACGCAATAATGCAACAAGGTGGGGCTGCTGAACTAGTAGCAGTTCAAGGGGTCTTTAAACCATCATTACATGAATTTGTAGCAAACCTGGGCAAAGCGTAATGCAAAATATACCATTTCAAAACCATGATCTCTTCTATCTCAAAAAGTACTCAAATTTACAAGATTCAAGGCCCTTTTGATGTCTAAAGAAAAGAAAGAAAAATAAAATCACCTTTTACCTTGACTATGCTATATGTTATATATATCCCAAGCAAAAAGGTGCATGTGATCAACAAATACTTTAAAATTTTACTTCCCTCTGGATCTCTAAGAACCAATTAGCATTAAGTCATAAAGATGTACTTTAATTAATTATGCTGAATTTTATCCAAATATCACATTTTTAGGCACTCCTAGCTTAACGACGGGGTGATGATTATTTTCTTATAGATTCATTCAAATGTTCCTCCATGTTACTGCTGCCACTGACAATTTTCTCCCTTGTTACCCCCAAATGGAA